TAATTATTTTTATTCACACAGTGTTAGTGATGAGACATGCTATGATTGCAAACACATGAAATGTTTGTCAATAATGTTATTGCTCTGATTTCTATTTTCTCTCCAACCTACTAGTTCCCAGCCCTCCCATGTTCTCTCTCTGGTGCTGTGGACAAAGCCACTGCTCTGCCTGTCATTCAGGTCACTCATCTGGATGATTTTTGTGACTCGCCCATTCCCTCGCCTCACATTAAATTTTGTCCAAGTTATACAGATTTCTTTTGCATTGCATCTGTTTGTAAGGATTTTTGTGTTAGCTTTTAGCAAACTAAAATCTTGTTCTACAGCATGGATAAATTCAGCCTTCTCTACTCATGTCTGTATACTGTGCTGCACTCATGTCAGCTGCTGTGTGCTCTCTCCTGTGCCTCATCTGCTTTGGAGGCACTGGTTTCCTCCAACAGGGTATCTGTTTGCCATTATCCCCCATTAAAATTGCCTTTTAACCAAAGACAGGCAAAGGAGAAAGGCTGTTCACAACCAGCTCTCACCTTTTCCTTCCAAGCCCGGTGGTCTTCTGTCTGCTTTTGCTATTTTCAGTTCCTAGAATTTCTAGCCAAAGTACAAAGGCAAATAATGTTTTCATCACTCACAGAAAGGAGATGCTAATTGCTATGCATTAGCAGCGTGTGCTGGACAGCATTCATTCATGTTGGCCACGTGTTCTACAGCAATGAACTGAGTATGGAATTACTCAGAAATACGCACTCTGAAATTCATTATTTCCCCACGGTGATCACTCCCAGAACCTCTTATGCCACTGGACATTTTTCTGGATACGGCATCAAGAATAGTTTCGAGTATTCAATATTAAAAAAAAAACTTTCCTTTGTGCACTGGAAGATTTCATTACCCAAATAATATGGCTCTGAATAACTTCAGAGCATGAAGAGTCCCCAGTAACTAAAATTTGAAATAGCAACAGTTTTTCAATATCAGCTACACAGAAGCAAACATTGCTTTTTCTAGCAATTACACCTTACTTACCTAATAATTGAGGACTTTGAATATTTTTATACATAAGTTAACAGTACACACATAACAAAGAAAACAGCAGTGGTAGGAATTCTTATCATGGTTTGGGCAATCATCAGAAACAGCAAACTCATTACACTAAACTTTAAAAAAGATAGACTACACTTTACAGCTTAGCAACTATTTCAAACTAAATAGATGTCGCAAAAGAAATAAAAGAAAATTTAAAAACCTACCCTTCTTTTTATACTTATTAAAGTGGCGCCGTCCTTTGCCAGTAAGCCAAAAACAAACAGAATGAAAATAAAATAATGAAAAACCCACACAAGAACAGGAAAAGAAACTGAGTATAACATAAATCTAAGTCATTAGAGTTCTTAAAATCAGATTAAAGAGTCAACCGATCAAACATGGTTTTAAAAATCCAAAAGCCTTCACTCTATTTAGATTAAAATATTAAACATGTTTTTTACTGCATTGCATAACCATCTAACAGTGTCTACTAAATGGCAACTTCATGGCAGCTGACAAGCTACTCAACTCATTTTTGTTCCTGTTTACAAATCACGCTCCATCTCTTAACATATTGTGCTCAGTGTATCAATGCAGCAACCCCATGCGATGGCACTTGTTTCACCTTTTCAGTTTAGATAAATATGCTTATGATATAAATGCTAGAATTTTTAAGTACACAATCAGAAGTGTCTCTGAGCACATTTCCAAACCTGTACATGACAGTGTCTTTCGATGCATTTTGGTTAAAGGCGTGGAAGAGTTGTATGACCTCCAGAGTACCGCGAGATGAAATGAAATTACAGCGCTTCACCTCTGTGACACTGAACTCTGAAAGTGGTGAAAAGCAGGACACGATGAAGGACGCCGGCTTGCAGATTTACCACAAGACTGGGCAGTTACAGAACAAACTATTACCAGACATTAACAGTGGGAACACCGAGTAAGAAGGACATCTTCGATACACGTGGGTGGGTATGTCATGGAAATTACAGAAAAACAGAAACAAATATAAAGAAGTGACAACACACCAAACCAACAATAATAGCTGCAAATCTGACTGTTTAATCAATCTTTGGCCATAGCATCCCTTTTCATCAGTGACTTTTACAATTATTTATGCACAACAGGTTACCCACAGTGCAGTTCAATTTACAGCAAATCTTCCACTAGCTTTAACCACGCACAATTTCTAGATTAGGATACATCTCTATCCTCTAAATTATCTTTTGATTATGAGAATTTCCTTTTCTTTAAATGTCATATTTTAACCATATGAGATTAAAATATATCACCTTTCCTGCGTGTTAGATGAAATTCTTAATCAGGCTAAACTCTACATGATTACAAAGGGAATCTTGTCTGAGCAAGGCTGAAGTGAATCTGTTGAGACTGGCTACCTGAGAATTACTTCCACAGATAAGGTTGAGAATTAAAGCCCCAAGTATTTGGCCGAGTGTTTGGCAGAGTGAAATTTATTTTGCTTCAATCAACACATGGAAGGGTATTTCAAACTGCACACTGGACCAAAAGTTCAGCTCTTTCTAATCATTTCTGTGGGACTTTGCTGGAGCTATTGGATCTGAAGTCAAATCTGTGCTCTCTCTCATATATTCCCTTCAGTTTAATCTTTTAGGTCTACATAGATCGGGTAAAGGAACAGGGAGAGGAACAATGCACCATCTGCAAAGCATACAGATGATTCCCCTCAAGATTCACTGTCTTTGATATCCTCAAAATCACCCTAGCAAACAGCGATTACCTTGTAGAAACGACCACATTTCACATCTCCCAAGCTCGGGTTTTGCCTCCTGTGAAGCTCTCAGGCTGCTGTGCTACAGCACGAAGCAAGTGATATCAGCTATTTAAGGAGCTTGGTCACCTTTTCTCCACATTTCCCTTTCTGTGTCTTGCCTCATCCTACAGTGGAGAACTGAGACATGAAAGTATGTGTTGCCAGGAATATAGTAAAAAAAAAAAACCCACAAAAAAACAACAACAACAAAAAATCAGATGGAAAGTAAAATAATTATCTTTCCATACATGTTACTACTTAAATATAAATGTAACATTACAGTAAATACATGGTAAATGTATTTAAACATTTAATTTGCTGCAGTAGGTTTAATTTCTATCTCCTTTTAATGTGCTTACTGTTCAATCCTGATTTTGGTTTCCATCTTCCGAAACTGCTCTCACATATAATCAGAATTTAAAGCATGCTAAAAAACCTGTGGACACAAGTACAGGTCTGACACTGGTGAGGCATGCAGCCCTTACACACTTACTCAGCCTCACATTTCTGGTTATGTCTCACAGTGTGTAGATGAGCAGCTGCGTGCCTGCATACGCACATGAGAATTCTGACAATACATCCATTTTGTCACCTTACATAGAATTTTAGGCTTCTTTGTTCTTTAGAAATGCCACGATGTCTGATAAAGAAATACTAAGAGAGGTGAAAGAAGCTTCCACAAAACCTGCTTTTGAGGAGAAAGAGACAATGCAATGGACACAGCAGGAACCAGAGAGAAAATTCTGAGGGGTTGTAGAAACCTGACAGAGAGTTTGACAAGTACCCTATAAATGATACTCGTCTGATGCAGTCTGAATAGACTATTTTCTAGCACAAACACAGAATACAGCGTTACAAGGAGGTTTGGTACACAAAGCTGGAGCTCTCCACAACTTAAAATGCAAATGAATTGATTTAAGGGCCATGTATGTGTAGGGGGTGGCAGTGAGGCACACAGTCACTACATGCATACTTTCACAGGTTAACACCACAGAAATGCATATAGCTGTCAGTGTGTATTTAGAGCACACATTTTCACACCGTTCATTTTGTAATATACACATTTCCTCTGAATATTTGCCAAGGGTTTTAATCTCTCAGGTAATCCAACCACATGCACATTTTAAGCACTCTTTAAAATGAGTCAGCACTCAGGTATCATTAACTTCCCTAGACCCCTGATGTCTTTTTTTTTTTTTTTTTTTTAACTCCTAATTGGACACTTCTAGGAGGCAAATACAGAGACACAAAATAGAAGTTACTCCCTCCGATATGTTTACAACAGCTAATAAAGGAGTATTTCATAGACAGGCACAGGTTATGCCAGCTGCCATCCTACTCCATCAGTGGAGGAGGTGGGGCCACAATGAACTATCCTTACCACTGCATTATGATCTGAGCAAAACCAAGCAATTTTATAATACTATTCAAGGCATTTCAACAGCTTTTGAATGCCACACTTGTCACCTTTTAACACTAACAACACTATTCCTGTGGAAAACAGTGGTAAACATATGATACTTACAGTGGGCTAAAGCTACATAAACTAAGGAAGCAAACTGTAACATGTTATGACTGTGCTCAGGAACACTGGGGAATTCAAACAACCCACTGATTTTAGACAACATACACACCAATAGCTTTATAAACTAGAGGCCTTCCTTTATGAATTTTTCCCCTAACACACAACTCTCAAGACTCAAGAAAAGGCTTATTTTAAGATTTCACCAAGTTCTTCTAGCCTCCTAAAAAGAAAAGGTGAACATCCTTTGGTCAAGAGCAATTGCATATGCAAGACAGCAACAATGAACTAGAAGCATGGCTCAGCCAAGCCAGAATATACATTACATTCTATTAATGAAGATAATCAGCCTTTTGTATACATCTGGATTAATGATTATCAGAAAGCATTGATGATAACTTGTCCACTTGTACAGACAACAGGAAATTTTCTGCCATTTCTGCATACTGCTTTTGAGAAAAAGAAGTTGCAGTTCTGCAAGCACATCAGCAGTGGGCCAGTGCTTCCATCTGATCATATTTAACTAAGAGAACTAAGAAAAAAAATGCATATTGATCGACTTGTATCTGGCTTGGATCCATGCTAACTAGCAGGCACCGTAGATCCATATATCTCAAAGACACACTGTGTTTATTTGTAAACATAGGAAAACGATACCTTTAGCACAATCTGCTCCATGAAATCCGGGAAAACAGTGGCAGGCACCAGAAACACACTCGCCATTGCCATGACAATTACGTGGACAGTCTTGCACTGAATCTGAAATACAAACATCACGCACACATTAATTTGTCCCTATTTCACCTGGAAGTTCTTTGCTAAGTTTTTCTTAACATTATTTTGTCTTAAATACTTGGGAGATACTAAGCGGACCACCAGAGAGCATTAACTAATATTAGCAGCACAAATTTCAGGGGAAGCAGAAAGTTACCAGTGTTTATGGCAGCATGATAAAGTGTAGAGAACTAGTGATAGCCTAAATGTGGCAAGTCCTTGAGCACCACCAGTACTCAAATGCACTGCTGGCACTCAAGTCCTCTGCTCAAACAGGTAGCCAAAACTGCTTCCTACGATTTTTATAGTTACACTTGCATTCATATTGTATTTCAAACATAATGCTTCAGCGGGGAAATTGACAATCTCCCCCTTACAATTTGACTTTGATCTTGCACAACCACTGTTCCATTGGAACTGATTATCCCAAGGAGTCTATCTTCTTTTCTTTCTACAGACACTCAAAGCTTCGTTAAGAAAGCTGACAGAAATGCCTGCTGCACCTGACAAAGAACAGCTCTTTTGCTCCAGCAAACATTCCCCTCAGAAACAGCCTGCAAAAAGTCCAAGTAGCAACGCAAGCAGATGACAAAGAGGTCTGTAATGCCACAGGGCAAGGTTTAACACCAGGTTTAAGTAACAGAAATGCTGGTGACTTCAATAATCTGTGAAGCATAAGCACACCAGCCTGATGATAATATTTCAGCTGTACCAAGCTGTATGTTTTCCACAGTTTGTTATTATTTGGATGATATATATATTTGCTTTCCACAATATCAAGTGGAAATTAAGTAACAATTTTGAAATTAATGCTTAAATTATTTTCAATTGAAAGCTGTTGGATTTCATAGGAATATTTTTTTAACACTGAATTACTGGAACAAAAATATAAATAGAATGTTGTTACTCTTCACTATAATTCCCTGTTGTTGTGAGCTGCGTGGTCCCAAGTTAAATGTCAGTCCCAGACACCAAACAAAGAGCAGCTGGAGGACACAGAAAATAGATTTTGGATTTGGAACTATTAGTACCATACAAAGTACTTTTCTGTCCAGCCAAACTGAAAAGAGGAAAAGGACTCAAGTGGACCTAATCTAATCTAATCTAAATCTAATACCACAGTTGCAGGACACTTAGTAAATAATAGTAGTAATAATAATAAAATAATAATAATAAAAAGAAGCAAAATTTCAAAAAGATGTCTTTATTTTGGCCTCTTTAAGTAAATCTTGTAAACAATGAAAAGTGTAATGTTTGATGGTCAAAAACATCAGTCTGTCACATGAAGTAGTTTGTCTACAGATTTATTCATTGTTTTGCTTCATGGCACACAATTCTACATATTCAGAATCATGGCAAACTTACTACTGCCTGAGAGCCAACATCATTTCTGTTATTTTTTTCTCCTCTCACATCAGAGAAACCTTCATCTCTCTCTGATCTTTTGATTATGAAACGTCTGATTCTGGGTGTGTGCAGAATAACCTGTGAACTGGATAAAACACTATACTTTTCTCTATATTTCAGTCCAATCACTATTATTGCACTATCATATAGTCTACCTGTCCATTAGACCTTTGATACTCTTGAAAGCTGTAGCCCAGGCTAGCCAGCCCTTTTAAGGACAGCTGATCATAGCTGAAGAGTTTCTAAGAAGCCACAGTAGCAGCATACCAAGATATAAGTACAACTGTTTTTGAAGAAGCAGAAAATGCCTACTATGGGCAGATACACAAATACATACAACATTATGTTGTAAGCCTTTCCACATATGAACTACGGAAACCAAAATGTTTTCTCATCCTAACTGAAATCCACAGGAACAACTAGGCTCCTACTTAATACCACACTGTTGGTTCTCCTCCCCAACCCCTGGGACTTCAGCTAAGAAACTAAATTTTATAATAATGTAAAAGGAAGAAAAAGCTTCATATCATCAATCACACAAGGCTGGAAAAGGCCTCCATTTATTTTTCATCAGACTCGCTCAGTTCAACTTCTTTCAATTTCTCTTTCTCAAAACTAATAGATTTGTGCAATATAGTGCCACTTAACACTTCACCAGCCAGGATGGAATAGCATGTAGACCATCTCAGTTTTTGATGCTACTGTGATAAGACTCTCACAGCTCACGAAATGTTCCAAAGATCAACACATCTTCTGACAAAGCTTGGAAAGCTTATGCTCAGTTTGGCTTTCAACTAAATGGAAGCCTATTCTTGTAACAAAACCGAAAGCATCTCAGATCATAGGTTGGATGCTGTTCTGCTCTTCTGCCATTTAATCCATCATGCTGAGATGAATGCCAGCTAGATGCTCACCACTAGGTGAGCAGCTAGCTGTAGTATGGCGTATACCTAATTAACGGGATAAATTAATCTCTGTGGTGACTGCAAACAACCTCATTCTTAGTTGTCACCATTCTGTACCATCTTTCTGCAAATATTAAACAGCTCTCTTGTTGAATGCAGTGTCTTGTTGGTTTACAAAGATGGGTCTTTGGAGAAGCAAATAGGTATAAAAAATGACTGTGATAAGGGAGAGGAACATCAACTGGAGAATGAAGTTTTGTTTCTCAGAACTAACCTCAAGAACTATAGGAATGCAAAAATCTTAAAAGAAAAATAATGAAATTAAAATCAATACCCCACTGTACCCATTTGAGATCAGCGTTAAGAAAAAAATGCACAACAACATAAGGACAAAAAGGCTGATTACTAAAGACTGAATGAGAGTATTATGACTTTAAGTTTGAGAATGTATCGATAAAGAGAAGAAGTACTCAACTTCTGGAAGTACCTACCCAAAATAACCGTACTGAAGGAGACCACTTCTTTGTCCTTGCCATCATTGTAAAACGCCAGGTGCCACAAACCCACATCCAAGTACTGAACAAACACAGCCTCATTCTGAACAAGAGTCTGAATACTCCGCCGTTCCCGCGGGGATTCCACCACACTCCATTTCTCTTTCCCATCCAAGCGCTCCATGAAATCATACTGCAGGGTAGGAAAAAGAAAAAGAAAACAAAACAAAAAAAGAAAACAAAAAAAAAACAAAACCCCAAACAAACAGACCAGAATACAGAATGATATCTCACAATCTCAAAAAAAATTGTAATTGAAACATCATAAAATGGTATTTCTGGAAGATAGGATAATATGAAGCTAATATCTACTGGGTTCCCCTTGAACACACAGAATTTCGTGACTGCTTTCTTAAAATCTGACATAGAATTGTGCATCTTTTCTCTGCACAGGTGATTAAAAATGTACAAGCAGTATTTCTTGACCGATCGAGTTTTGAGAAAAGAGTTAAAATCAATGCTTTGACCCTTCACAAAATTCTGGGTTCCTACAGAGCTTTCAAAGCTGGAAAACTTTAACATATGAGAGATGCGCCCTTTCCTACGCAATCACTTGCCATAATTTATTGCTGCAAGATGTACAAATATGTCAGATGTACCTTCAGACATATAATTGAATGGACAACCCCAGAATGCAAAAACAAAGAGGAAAGCACAAACAAAAAATGGGTCTGTCTAACACAATGTAAGTTAGTGTCCAATTAAAACACACTGTGAAAGTTCGACATCACAGAGCAGTTTGCTTACCTGAGTTTGTATGCAGAACAATCAGGGGTAAGGAGGATACAAGAACCAGAGGGAGCATGGAAAAGGAATAACACAAATCAGGTAGCTGAAGGCATTGAACTTCTATTAAGGAAAACTGAGAATTTCTGTTTGGATGCTTTGGAAAATTACATTAATCTTTGGAAAACAGATGAAGCAGAGCAAGTGATTATTTAGAGTATAAGAGGGATGGCACCATTAACGGTATAAAGCTAAAAAAAGAAAGAAAGAAATTTAAGATGAATGTCAGATAAGCTTCCCATCTATTAAGCTCAGTAATAGCCTCCCAGTGGAGATGCCACTGCATCACACAATTAAACAAAGACTAGAAGAAATATTGGTTAATCTACAATAGGGAATAACTCTGCATAGCAAAGCAGCTGTACCAGAACTCCTAATGCTCTTTTTTTGATTATTATTTATTTATTTTTTCCTTCTGTCTTTAAGCTTTGTGATTCTCGTGCTCTCAATCTGATGCTATGCTCAGCTTCCCAGCTCTCATGGCCCCATCTAAGGGAAGTCCTCAGGAAACAAGAAAAAATATTTCATCTTTTGATAGCTGTATAACAAGTCCCCTATGAAAATACATCTCGTTTTAGACACATTTATCTATCTATGAGTAGATAGAGACAGACATGTCTAAAGAAAAAGATATGTTCAATAAAATATAGTGAAAGTACATGCTTGCTGGCCAGTAGTTTCATTGCACTTCCTTCTGTCATCTCCAGCACGTACAGCCTGTGATTGTGGCAGTTCTAAGAAACCATACACATTCACTTTGTTTTATTTTAAATAGAAAAATGTCAACCTCCATCCAAAAAAGGTCCATAAGGGATCTCTTGTACATCAAATTACACTCCTTAAAACACTGAGTTCTAGCAAATAATACAAAATATGCAATAAAATAACGAAGATTCTTCTAGAAGAGACAGAAGGTTGGACTGATTTAATGAGTTAGTGACATGCTGCACATCTATTTCAAACAGTGATATAAAAGGTGACCTTTCTGTTTGAAATTTCGTAGTGGTTATAATAGGAGCAATAGAGCTCTCAACAGACTTAGCATTACAACAAAGGCAAAAGTATGGAGGTACTAGTACTTTCTTTTTAAATACATGAAACCATGACATCAGCATGCAGCCACAAAGGAAAACCATGACAGCACAGGAGTTGGAGCCTGTATCTACCAATGTTGAAGGCTACTGCCACGGTAAGTGCATTAGTCACTCTTCCCAATGCCTTTACTCATGGGAAAGAATAAGTGACGTGAAAAAAAAGTTTCACCAAATTGTTAAGGTCTAATTGAGAGAATCCATTTATTGAGCCTTTTTTCACACAGGATTTTCACCAAAGAAAATAAATCAGGTAAATTAATGCATTTAAGCCAATGCACACTGGAGATTTAGAGAATTCTGGCGTGTCAGAAACTCTCAGAGCATCCAAGGTGCCAAACACACACATGTATCTATCTCTTAAATCAATGACATTTGGAAATATTACTAAAACCTACTGTCTAGCAGTCAGAGGTTAAGGACAGACTCATCACCTCTTTGGGAAATGTTATTACTTGGGCAACATCTTGGGAAAAAGAAATCTTGTTCCTCAGAACAATCGTTCACAAAGGGTCAGCTAGGGAAGTAGCAATAAAAGCTGACATTTCTCACTGGCAACATGCTGTTCATCTCTGCTTATGCTGGCAGGTTCCTCTGCCTCCCCTCTGTTTGATGCTGATTCTACCTCATATAGCAGAGAAGGCTCAGCAGTTGGCAAGATCGAAGGGGAATAGTACTCAGGCTGAAACTGCCTGAAGTAGTTTTAGCTGCAGAATCTCTTTTCACAATGACAGGTGTGACCTAGAGAGAGCAGGTCTCTTGGCATGGCTCCCCATAAGGCTGTAATTTTAACTACACACTATAGAGACTCTTTAATTAAACCGTGAAGAACTATTTCATGCTCAGGCAAAAGTGTAATGACTAAACATCAATAACTTTATGACTTGTGAAGCACCACTGCAAATTGATGTAGAATATAACAATAAATGTTTATCCCTCTCTGGATTCCTCAGGACTGTGAGAAAAAGAAAGAAGATAATTCATTTGCTGCTGCATTTGCTGCCGGCATGTACAATCTTAATGGAAGTACTGGGTATGTGCACCCCAAAATCTAAAATTCCTGACCAAAAGGTCACTGAGAAGGTCATAACCAGAGATGAACTGCTATGGTTGGCTGGATCATCATTTTGTTTCTCGCTGCCCTGTTGATTTTCTGATTTACTCCACTTGCATGATTAATTACCACTATATAACGCTGTTCCAAAAATAGCACTTTTGCTTTAAAGCTACCTACTGACAGATTAGAAGACACATCGAGGAAACAAAAATAAACACTTTCATGATTGTTAAGAAGCCATTGTGTAAGTTTTTAATCTAACAGAAACAACTACTGAGGAGAACTAACTTGCACGTACAAGGGAATGGATCTAGCCAACTATCAAAATCAGCCCTGAAGCAGTTTTTAATTTTCACTGTTTTTTTTTTTTTTTTTTTAATGATCCTTTATATTTTGCGGCTTCATTCAGAAAGTCACACTAAAAACAACTAAAATCTGCCCAGAAACAAAAGGCACCAGAAATTACAAATGATGACATCTTCACAGTTCAGTTTTGCAGGGGAGAGTAGTTGGTACGATTAAAGCTCCATATAAAGAAGGCTACTTCTTCAAACAAATTCCAAATTCACGCTTTCCATGATTGCTCATTTATTCTACTACACAGCATACCAAAACCCTACTGCATACTTTTATTTACAAACCTAAATCTCACGCTAAGTTCTTTCTGGGCAATTTGTTTTTATAATTTCTTCCTTCAGTGCTTCTATCTTCCTCTGATGCATTTTATTCACAAGCTAATGAGGTCTTTCTTTTTCCAGTAACCACGAGGAGTCAGAAAAACAGTTTGGGAACACTGCATGTATGATAGTGACTACACTGCACAACGTCATCCACAATGCCATCCACTGCACAATGCCACACATCCGTTCATAAGATCTGTTGAGAACAGCTGCCTACCAAAAGAGAACCAGCTGTGAAAGCATCAAGAAGCAAACAGCTCTCAGGCACTGGAACACAGTCTTTTCTTAGATTTGAAACCACTTATACTACCACAAAATCATTAACAGTCTTTGAAAACAGGAGCTGAAAAGAAAGAGCTATTAGAGCTCTTGTTTTAATAATGGATGTGTCTTCAGATGGGAAAAAAAAAGAAAAAAAGAAAAAAAAAGAGAGAAATGAAAAAGAAGAAGAAAAAAGCATATCTGGCATTGTGGCTAGCATTCATCTAATGCTAAAGCCCTGTAAGAGCTACAATGCCAATAATAAAACAAATGTCAGGGAAACTTGTTTGCAAAGTGCTTTAAAATTAGTTCTTTACCAAATCCACTTGGTAATTATTCATTAAAATACACCCATGAAACATCTGACCCACACAGCCAACAGCTAAGGAGCTTATTTCAGCATTTAAATGTGCATCTTGACTGTGACACAACACAAGGGGTGCAGTGCAGCACAGCATTCACTACAACAGCACAGTCACCATCACAGAGCTCTGAAGTGACCAGATCACTTTCCAACTACAGTAGTGGCTGGGAAGCATGGTAACACTGAAGCTCTTCAGCTATTCTCACTGTTTCAACTAAAGACAGTTCTAAATCGAAATGGTTTTCATTAAATAGAAAACACTGCTGCAAATGGAGGCAAAACATCTCCATGCACTGCCTTCTCCAGACATGGCAGGGATGCTTCTATGTGGTTACTTTATTTCATGCATCATTGGGAATATTTTAACAATGTGTAGTAACGTAATTGCTGTAATCTCTGCAGGATCACTTCATGCATTGTTTGACATTTACAGCTCATTTTCCATACATTATCAGTTTTATTAATACGGCTATCCTCCACGATCCTTCCAGCCTGTACTGCACATTTTTCTAATTCTGTGCAGTACTACATAGATTGGAAGAATTTTCTTTGAAAGCAATGCGTTTCTTTTTCTAGTCTGCTTGCCACTCAAAATATTTTCTCTCTCCTCTAGAGCTCCACTCCCCACGCACACGGCACACAGCTGCTTCTAGAGAAGTTCACAGCTACGTCAGTTTGACTGGCTGAACTACACATCTGGAATATCTGCTAAACACTTCTACTGAGAAGGTTAAATCTCAGCAGGGCCCACAGACAGGAACTGCATCTTGTTGTCTCAGGTTAATCATGTATCTAATTTGCTGATTATTGACTTACTCCCACAAAGGATTTTGCTAGGCTTGACATATCAGCACTGATCAGTGATGAACTGTCAAGTCAAGTTGTTCTCTGCTTTACAGTTCATGTCCCTAACTTGCAGAAACAAGGATTTCAAATTTCAATTCTAAAATATCGCCTGGTGTTAACTTCAGACTACTTTCATTAACACAAAACCATTCTGCTTCTTTCTGTCAGAACAGGTCTTCCTTTCACCAACTCCAGTGTGTAACAGCTTGCTTTTCTTTCTCCTTGGGAGCAGTTCGGGTGGATTTTGATATAGCAATCTTCTGCCGAAAAGCACCAAGAACTTGCACGAATATGGGATTTCATTATGCAGTTATGGAAGAAGGTTGGAACTGCTTCCACTAACTAAAAACTGGAAATGAGGTTCTCGGAGGAGGACTCAAGCTAAACTGGAAACACAGTCGGTATTTCTCATTATTTAATTTATCAGAAAGGTTATGAAATTTATATCCAGTGCTCAAAAGGTTTAGCGAAGGAAAGAATGGAACTCTGCTTGATCCTAGCTTCTCAGACAAGGACATTATAATGAAACCTGGAACAAATATAGCTGAACACAGTGCAGTAGAAATTAATGTTCAGCTTGAAGTAAAAACTATACTTATTTTGTACTACCACTTACTTCTCCTCTAAGAGATAGAGGCATACCACCACAATGTGATAGTTAGACAATTATAATTAACTTGTTATTATATAAAATCTTGATGGTCATTTTGGAGCTTTGGTTGCCCTAAGCTAGTTTTACTTCATGATTTATACTTTTGTTTGTTTTCATCATCTAAATTGCTGGGTGATTTTCCATAGTGGAATGATATGGGAAGAGAGCACCATGAGACATGCCCAATGAATTACATCACTGCCTCACATGCAGCTTATGATCCATTGACATTATCTTGCCCGAGACAACGCACTGAAACACAAGAGCCAAAAAATCAAAACATCCTTGAGAAAGGTCCCAGCCGTGGATCATATTTTTGGTGGATATCTTCTATGATGGATGGATGTCTGAAAATGGCTGAAAATTATTCAACATTATAAGAAAATTTTCCCAATCTATCTGATCTTTGTACGGAACTTCAGGACGCTGTATATTAGCCCTTGGCTGTATGGAAAACAAACCACTCGCCCTTCTCCTTCATTTGTGGTCCGCTGGTCTTCATTTCTTACCAGTCAGACACATCTGGATATCAGATACATACAAACATTTGGTAACTCGGAGAAAAATTCTTAACAGCATACAAGAAGTCAATGGAGTTTGCAGATTCATAAAGCTACTTGCTCACCAATTCTTAAAAGCAGAAGTCATAAATCCAAGTAAACCTTTTCTCTCAATTCTACCCAAATCAGCTTAAAAATTTTCAATTTCAATTCAGACTTCAGGCAAGAATAACAGCCAAGGAATAAGAGCCAATGCAGACTAGTTCCATAATAAGTAGATCCCAATTTCAGTTAACATAGGTGTAGTTTTCCACAGATACTCCCTCTATCACGACTTTGTGCATGCACATGGCCACTGTTCTCTCAGGGCTGATACCTCCTTGCAAGCAATATGAAAACATTTTCTTTGTATGACAATGCAGTTATGTTGAAGTCACTCTGCATTTGGCTTAATCATTTATGTAACTGCAGTCTGCATTGCCAAACGAAAACAAACTAGCAGTATTTTGCAAATCTGGACGAGGCATCTATGAATGTTGAAAAGGCTTTTACTCAAAGTTCAAAATTTGATCTTCGGAAATTATAAACTAAATCAAGCATTTAAGTGTAGCTGGTAATTTTTTAATGAAGAACTGATTTTCAGCAGCAAGGATATGCATGAAGTAAAGGTTCCTTTCCAAAAGCTGGTTCCTATTTCCCCTTCCCTTGTTCTCTAAAGAATGGAGGCTCTTTCCTTTCAGTATGTGCAACTGCAAAATATTATTGCTCGTTACAGTTCTAATCTAAATAAATGAGAATCTTTCTATTCACATTAATTACTTTAAAGGTATTTTTTCCTCTCTGCAAAATAAAGTATGTCACTTTATTATTACAGCAAAAGAAATCTAAGCACCACTGCACAGCCTAGAAGAAAAAGATACATAAATTTTGTCCCACTATAAGGCTGTCTTTATCTACACCCTTAATTATGTACTACAAAGTCAATGCAAAAAAAGCGGTGGTGCAGAGTTTTCAACCTGTGGTCAGTCAGAAATTAAGAACTGTGATTCCAAGCTGCAAGACCTGCCCGATGTCTTAGTGAGATGTTAAGCCTAAATACCATCTCAGATGGAAAAATAGTAAAATTAGAGCTTTCCAGACATGGACACTGTATTCTGTCCTCCAATAGGTCTGGATAGCAGTGATGCCAAAGTCTTTTGTGTGCTCAGCAATACTGTCAACATCCTGTGGAGTCTGAAACTTCTACAAAATGATACTTCTACCAAAATGATACGTTATCAGATCTAGCTGTGCTGCATTCCAACTGCATATAGTGTTTTGGTATTGTGAATCTGATCACCTTGACTTATTATTTTTGATGGGCTGTGACTGGATTGGTTTATCTCAACTGGTTCCACAGTTTCCTCAGAGATTTAAAACCTTTCATGCCAAACTGAAAGTAATTTTAAAAACCTGACTAGCAAGAACATCACGCTTGGTTATTTCATTCATCAAAATACTGTTAAGGTGTGTAATAATCTAGAAATCTTAGTATCAGGGCAAATATAAAAAATTGAGTCATCCCCAAAATACCACACGGAATCCCTAAACTTAAGTTCCAAAAGCTCAAACCTGAACCTAACAAATTCACCCAACTTCTGAATTTTCATAAGTACAGCCAAGAAATACATGGATAAAGTACCTGCGCATGTGATGGTGGGAGTCCTCTTCTTATATAAACACCAAAAAGAGCATCCTTCCCTAAGGATATGTTGAACTTCAGGAACTGTGGCTGGTTGATATGGATCTGAGACCTCCAAAATACTCCAGGGGGCACTTCTTGGGTGACCTTGCGGCCAACTTCTGTTTCTCCACTATCTATGCTGCTATTCCTCGTGACCCACGGTCCTATAAAATGAAAGCAAATACAAATCAACTATTAATCAAATGAGATAACTGCTTTTAATAAAGGCACTTCTAGCAGTGACGTTCAAGTATAACATCTGCAGCAATGCTGCTGTTTAAACCAAACTGCGACTTTCCTAATTTCATCCAATCTGTTGCTGTTTCAATAAACAAAAGGAAGAATTTGGTCCATGTATGCTAAGAAAGAAGGCTTTGAACCTGTTTCCATGGAGCATCTGCAATCTTCTAATTCCTCTGAGCCTTCAATTCTGTGACTGCTTAGAGACTCATTTAAGCACATAGAAATCTCCTTTTGCGCTTTTCAGCTGTCTTCTATGCAACCAGCATAGCAAATTTCAGAAAGGTGAACTGAAGGTGTAATTTCAATCTTAATGAACTGATTGCAAATTTTATTACTATTGCTTTATATAGCAAAGCAGTCCAATAAATCCCCGTTCACAGACAATAGAGTTGGTAGAAGAAATGAAATGCAAGAAGAGGATTTAGAGAACAGTTTCTATACTATAACATGTGTCTTCTTATTCTTTAAAGAAAGTTAGTATAGCTCAATTCACTGCCTTTTAATTCTGTGTGAAGCAGTGAGACTATCTATCTGTAGGTCTCTCTCTTCCCCACAGATAGTTGCAGGGTTAGCTAAAATCCATCTTTTGATGGTTCTTCAGCATGCATTATTGAAGCCAAGATACAAGGCCCTTCTGGTTGAGTGCTCTGGCTTCCAGCCCCTGAAATAGCCTTTAAAACTTGGTGTGAATCTCTTCTGCTTGGCAGCTGACCAGGATGGTTCTGAGGTTACACATTTTAAACGCAGAGTGTGATAGGTGAAGAGTTAGCAGTGCTTTCAAGCTGCAGCATACAACATTTCATTTTGTGTCCTATATCCTCAAGCGACCTGGTGGTAAGTCCATATTTTAATTATTATAACAGATACTAAAAAGACCAGAAAAAGACAAATTTCTGTTGCCATCACAGAAGTCTAACAGTGTCATTAATATCCCTGTTGATACATACTGGATGGTACCAATACCTCAGGATTTGTTAAAAGCTCAGCTGTTTACTTCATGTTTTTGTCATGGTGAAACAACATTTTCAAGATGTGGCAAGCTACTGCTGAAATGTTTTCCAGCACCACGTGAATGTAACAGGATGGCACAGAATAACATATAATTCCAGCAGGTAAGTACATGACAGCTTTTCTGCCCTGGGTATCCTTAATTGAGAGAGCTGCAATAGCACCACTTCATTTCTGGTTCCAAATGATCTGTTAGCAGCACTTACACTTGTACATAATGAAACAGATATGTTGGCAGTGTCTTCAAGTGGTAAAAGAACGATTTGAACACCAACTGCTACCCAGTTTTTGGTAAATTTTCTTTTTTCATTTTCCATGCTAATGGATCAATCAAACATATATTTATCATTACAGCTCTTAAAGCAACGAAAGATATGCAAAGACAGCCTGCAAAGAAAGGAGAACTAGTTGCTGACTCATTAGTTAGTCCTGACTCTATCTAAGGACACCTGCAGTTGAAGAGAAGCCTCCAAAGAAAAAGCTATTTATAGGTAGCATGACAATAAGCATTACTGTTATAATAAAGGCTGCACAAGGAGTAAAGGTGAGAAGATCAATACACCAGCACATTTTCCAATATTCTGAATCTGTTCACTCATCAATGACTGACCTGAATTGTGTATTTTCAATTCAGTTGATTTCATGACTGCGACAAAGTCGCTTCAGTCCATCAACTCCAGTGCAAATCTTTGTCAGAAGTCGTCTACCAACCAGATGTAAAGCAGGTGTGAATCTGTAGCTCAACTCTGCCTCACCTTAACAGCCATTCCCTCCACCTCCCCTCCAGCCCCTGCACTGGAATCTGCTTCTTGTTTTGGTTCTTTTGAAGCAATACTCTGTTGATCCAACTCTAGCATTCAGTGGAACAGTGGTCCTGTACAGTCAGAGATATGGTTTGTGTCAGCAGCACAAATCCAATGCTCCAAGCAGGTAAAGAAAAACAAAAAAAAAGTAGCTTACAGTTACATTTACCTCACTACATAAACATTGTAATATTTAATCAGAGCTACCAA